TCTTCACCCTGTCTGTTGTGTGCTGTCTGCTCGCTCGCAGCTTGCTTCATCTGCTGCTGCCAGTGCTAGCCAAGCCACAAGGCCAGCGCCCGGCGTTGCTTTCTTTTGTGGAAATGGCATGGTGTCAGTTTTAGCAAGCGGTTTTAGCCGGCCAGCCCATGGAACTGCGCCAACTGCATTTTGGTTTCATTATGGAAATGACATGATGTCAGTAGCAAAACAGAAATGCAGCTTTGGCCGGCATTTTCCTCTCAAGTTTACTACATTCTCTTCTCCCCAAATCATGGGTGCACTGCACGGCGGTGGTAAATAATACTGTATCTAAAATGTGTCTGTGTGAATCTTTTGCTGCAGAGCTCCTGCATATTCCTCCGGGCTCCAAAGACGCCGCCGCCTTCAGCCCCGGCGGCGACAAGGGCTCCACTGCCGCTCCAGGTCAGCCTGCCTCTCCTCCGTTATTATTGCCTCCATGCGTCGCACTTCATTCATTTGACGTTTTATTTTCGAGATTTTTTTAAAAAAAAAACAGAGATCCTTTTGCCATGATTACACATATTTTGAGCATGTTTATATTATGAAACACTTCGGTAAGTGACCACTAAATAATAGTGCCCCTGCACAGTAGAAAATGTAGTGATTTTGTCACGCGAATTAAGAAGACAATTCTGTCCAATTTATCCCCCACCAAATTTTTACTGTTGGAAAACACTACTACACTACACTCGATTGAGATCTGAGTATCTGACCACCCTCTGGTTGTCTTTGCAGCCAAGGACAACTCGACGGCGACGACCGACTCCCGCGCGCTGCAGGCGACCAACGGAGGCGGCGTCTCCTCCCCGGCGTCGGCGACCGCCGGTGCTGCACTGACCGCGCTGCTCGCCGGCTACCTTCTCGTGCTCGTGCCTGAGCTGTCGCCTAGCTCATTCTAGACCTCTGTCAAGTTGTGCCACCAAAAAATTACCAGAAGAATGTGATGTGTTGTTGTTCTAGTACGTGACGTGACAGACAATTTGCTGCTGCTGTTGGAGTTGTTGTTGTAGTTGTACTGTGTTTCCTGTTCTGCTATGGGTACGAGATCATCTCGTTGAGATGCTGTTACGGCGTGTGTTAAGCTAGGCTAAGACGATGGGGTATGGGTATTGCTAGCTTCAAAAAATGTAGTACTGTACCAGTACCTTACGGAGTACCTGTCATCTGGTTGCTGATCCTTCTTGTTCTTGGCACTGTTTTCTGTGAACATTTGACGCATTTGATCAGTCAAGTAACTTTTCACTCCTGGTTTGTCCAATCAGTACATGGCTGATCTCATCCGAGTAATGGTGGATATCGAATTATCGATAGGTCAAAACACACATGCGACAGGCACTGCATTGCGTTTGCACGCACACGAGCAGTCGCCGTGGGCCGTAACGTGCCGGGTTTGGTGCCGAGAAACTGCCACAAAGGCCCTGACACTCGGGCCGGCCCATCCTGAATCCAGCACACGAGTTGGCTTTCGATGAGGCCCACCCAGACGGTTTAGCCCAATGCCAGCCAGCGCGTCCCGTTCCCGTCCACGGCGGCCTCAGCTCAATAACAAGCCAGCGCAAGCCTAGGGTTTCCTTCCTCCTCCAGTGTTCTCCTCGCGCCGCCGCCGCCGCCCCAGTTTGTTTCGTGTGCCCGTGAGCTCGGCGGCCTCCGTCCGCGACTCTGCGCGAGAAGCGAGAGGTGAGACTCTTCTATCTCCAGTCCATCCATCCCTGCGATATGCCGTGGCTTCAGGTTTAATGCTGCGTGGCGTCTTTATTTATTGAGATGTTGATAGTACCAATTTCCTGTTTGAGAGGCTTGATTGTTGTGTGAGCGTTCTGAATCGTCTGGCGTTAAGGCGCTGGTGCCATGGCTACTACGTGATGGATGAGTAGCAGTAGCTCTGATTTTGTTCATTTTAAATGTTTGGATGTTGTGCTGTGTGACCAGGAATCTGTTGTGGGTGTGGTCATGTGGGTTATTTCTTATTGATGTGATCTGTAGAGACTTTGTGATAGAACTTTGAAGGGTCTCCTAGGTTTAGATGTGCTTCGTGAATGAAGCTGATCTGTAGGTTTGTCTAGTTAAGCATCGAGCATTGTGAAGGACACATATTTCTTAGCACAGTGCCCTCAGTAATCATGGATTTTTCTGTGTTCGTTGTCGAATTAATCATGGATGTTTTGTTTTAGCAAACAAAACCTGGTTTCTGCAATGGTCCGAAGCCTCTTGAATGCAAGGTGATATTGATAATTTGGAATCTTGCCACAGCAAGCAAGCATTCTTGTAGAACTGATCGAATGCAAAGCGATGGTAATAATTTGGATTGTGCCATAGCAAGAATCTGTTAACTTCACTTACTCTTTCATACTGCAAAGGGCAATCTGCTGGACACCGAATGGAGCGTGTTCTGTCCCTAGTTTGTTTTTTGTTTGTGTAATGTTGTTAATTTGTTTGCCAGTTTCTACTTCAAAGCTGCGATTTGAGGAAACCATGTGATAGTTTATGTTTACCTAACTGCAGTTTGAATGAACTTTGTGACCAGAGGATCTGACTCACCTTGATAACTGACAAATGCTTTCTACAAGTGCAGCATGGACACCCAGGTGAAGCTTGCTGTTGTGGTGAAGGTGATGGGCAGGACCGGCTCCAGGGGTCAGGTGACCCAGGTCAGAGTGAAGTTCTTGGATGACCAGAACCGTCTCATCATGAGGAACGTCAAGGGCCCGGTTCGCGAGGGCGACATCCTCACACTGCTCGAGTCTGAGAGGGAGGCCAGGAGGCTGCGCTGAGGTGGCTGGGTGTCTTGGTGGTTCTTGTATGGAGTTGGATCTCGTCGAAGTTGTGCTGTGTTTGTTGAACTTGGTGTGACCCTTAGAACACCTGCCTTATGATTAGTAAGCCTGGTGATAAGGTTGCAGTTTGGTTTTATGATCCAGGTTGAAAGTGCACTTGTGATGAGACATGGATATCCTTAGCTATATTAGCTCAATCGATGCATGGATTGAATACTAGTTGAATTTCAGGGTTTGATTCTGATTGGTAGTATGGTCGTCTATGTGGTTTTGCCATAGTCTTATAGTCATGGTGGTGGCTATCTTAAACTCGACATTTGCTTGATGAGGGTCTTAGTGCTTCACCAAAGGATCTTGTTCTGGTGATCACTTAGATGTTGGTTAGATCATTTTATCTGTATGTTTTCTCATAACCTGTTGATTGAATTAGTTATTTCTATGGAGAGCGATGATGGCTCTCTAGAGTGCTAACAAGATATAGAAAAGTTGTTGGAGGGTACAAAGATATAGAAAACGATTTTTACTGAAATAACACTAATTAATGATTTAGAGACCAAATTTTACCAAAATTCTGTGGAGAGCGTGGATGACTCTCTAGAGTGTATCCATGATATAGAAAATTTGTTAGAGGATACAAAGATATAGCAAACGGTTTTTACTCAAATAACTCTAATTAATGATTTATAGAGTAAATTTTAGAAAGACACTTGGAGATGCACTCCAGCTTGCCTAGTATTTTGGTAAAAACAAAAAACATGTACACGCCTTGTATAGGGCGTTGAGGGGAAACTATAAGGTCAGTCTCGGTGGGGTTTTATCTCACTGTTTTCATCGCCATGAAACTCATTTCAATCCATTATACTTTTATCAAATTTCTCTTCATTAATACTATGCTATGAAACTGTAGTTGAAACTAGGACTTAGGACAATGATAACATGAGATGTAAAAAAGGAAAGGAGTACTATTTAACTATTTTAGTATCGCAATCTTTATTTAAAGCCATTCTTAGTGCAATTGCATGTTTCATGAGAATTTCAATCTCATTAAATGACATCTAAGTGATCCAATTGCATGGCTATAAAATGTAAGAGCAAAGTCAATAATAGAGCCCTAAGTGTTTTGCTATATAAGTCAAGTTATAAAAGGCAACCTATACAATAGTTGTCTCATATTCCTACAAAAAGTTTTTTTAGTATTATGCGAGACCATATCTCATATTATTTTTTTATTCCTTCTCACATATACTTGCTACTTGGGTGAATTATTGTACATGCTCTCCTGCCCAACTTGTTGCTTGCATGAGATCTAAGGTCTACTCTTTTTTCTCCTCCACATCGGCACTGATTCTAAAATAAGAGAGATAGTAGAGATATTGACACTATTAATGTTATGGAACGGGAACTGAGAGTTCTATTTGGTCATTTGCTTAAAAATACTATTCCTTCCATCTTAAATTATAAGTTATTTTAACTTTATTAGATGGTCACAACATCTTAAGATATATACATAAAGTGTATATTTTAATAGTTTTTTAATGTTTTATATGTATTTAGTATTCATAACGAAAAATCATAATATTATAAAAATGGGTGAAATGATATGTTGTGCAATTGAAATATTTACAGGGTATTAAAAATGTTTCACTGTGTGTGGGTGGAGGGGGGACGGCCCCCTCTGGTTCCGCCACTGACCGTGATTCATCAAACCTGCAAGCCTTGATATCTGTTTAACAAGACCAATGTTACTAGAGAAATTATATTTATACCCCTATCAAAAGGTGTTAAGCATGTAAATAATTGCACTTTAGTAATAGAGAAAGTAAAAAGGCTACTAAAACTAAACGGTCTCATACCTATATGTGTATTTATTGTGAGACAAAGTTTAAATACTAGAAGTGTATTTATTTTCGGAGTGAGCGAGTAATGCAAGACCCCGCCTAGTAGCCACTAGCTAGTTGCTAGCCTAGTTCATCCATAATGAGCAAAGCAAGTAGAGTGGGTATGCCTGCTAGGTAGGGTTGAAACCTATTCATCCATAATGAGCAAAGCATGGAGAGTGGGTATACCTGCTAAGTAGGGTTGAAAACGAACTGAAATTATCACGACAGATCCGTCCGTTTTTTCCACATTTGACCTGTCCGTTTCCGTATTTTGGGAAAAAATCTAAAAACCAGACCGGAGCCGGATCAAAAGTTACTGGACCGGGACGGAAACAGGAGGCTTCATCCCACCCGTTTTCTCAGAGTCCTGTATGTGGCCGAAAATATCCTGTATTTGATCCATATTTCTCAAATCCAAGATGATCCCAAGCCACAGCTCCCCTAAGGCCCAATAACTAGAAGGCCCACGTCTGCAACCCAATAGTGCAAAACCCTATCGTGTCCCTGTCCGTCCTAGCCTGCTGGCTGCTGCCTTGCTGTTGCTATGCTCGGGCTGTAGTGGCGTACTGCTGATGTGTGCGTGAAGGTGTACCGTGTACGCCTACTCTGTGCACTCCTGAAGTGCTACTTGCCTTGTGGGCATTAACAACTCATAGACACGTCAGTGCAGCAGTGCATGCATTTAAACACAGCACACTTGCAATTCACTTGAACTTGGTGCATGTTTAGTTTTCCAAAAATTTTCAAGATTTTCCGTCACATCGAATCTTTGGACGCATGTATGAAGCATTAAATATAAATAAAAAATAAAACTAATTACACAGTTTAGACGAAATTCACGAGATGAATTTTTTAAACCTAATTAGACTATGATTGGACACTAATTGCCAAATAACAACGAAAATAATACAGTACCATTTTCAAAAAAATTCGACAACTAAACAAGGCCTTGCACAAGATCGCGATTGGCAATGAGAATGATGATTTTATATTTGTCGTGGATGTTGCCAGGGGCGGATCGAGCGGGGGGCTGAGACTTAAGATCGAGCAACAGTGTTGTTCAGCCCCTCCTAAAATATTTTCTGGATCCGCCGCTGGATGTTGCTGCAAGTTGATTATAGAATGTAATTTGCTCAACAAATGTTCGTGATCCCGGCTTAAGTGTCTGGTAGAACCACGCATGAAAGAGTGAAAAACTTCAGTGATATAGCCTCTTGGAGTCCTGCGTGCTTTACAGTACTCATAGATGATGTACTTTACTTTAAACTCCTGAACAGCTCAAATTAATAATTATGTTTGATAAATACGCTGTATATATATGGCTATATATACACGTTTGTTGGATCGTTTCTGTGACTTATAAGCCAGCTGTTTTTATTACGAGAGAAAAACACGCTAATAAGCATGACCGAGCGAACAGTGCTGCTCGAGAACACCGCTTGGCCGTCGAGTCCGCGGCCGCGCTGGAGGCTGGCGGCGTCGCCGGCGCAGTCGTCTCGGCCGCCGTGGCACCCTCGGCGGCGGGCTCGTACGCGGTGCTGCAGTGCGGCAAGGACTCGGGGTACGTGCACCAGAAGTACAGCGGCTACTTCACTGTCTTCCGCGCGCTGCTGGAGGAGGAGGACGAGATCTGGCGGGTGTACCGCGCCGTCCACGGGGAGCTCCCCACGACAGGTCTGGATTTTTTTTTGAAATTTCTGGAGAATACGTGAATAATTTGACATATATTTATCTGACATATGGAATCCATAGAAATAACTTATAAATTTTTTTGAAAAATTTAGCATATGTTTTGTTATTCCCAACTTATATCACCCTATCCAATGAATCGCACCGAAGAAATCGTTGTAAATATAGTAATAATGCGGTGTAAATATTTGATCTTGTTCGGCTGGCCAGAAAAACGACTGGTGCTGATACTGATTTGTTGTGAGAGAAAAACACTCTTATTTCACTAAAAAGGTACCAAACGAGCAGAACAATAGCTATACGGCAACGTAAATGTATAAAAAAATTTGGTTGTTGAAAGAGCTTAAAACAACCTGTTATTGGTAGGCAGATTCCTTTTATTTGAAACCTGTCCTTGCTTTTCAGCAGGAGAAAAAACTTCGCCCCTACTTGTCCATCTGGCCTCCCATCCCCCATGATAATTTTCTGGGCCCTCACTCGTCACGATCTCATGGCGAAGCGGCGAGCTCTATGCCTCACCGTGTGGTAGCCGCGGCGCAGGTGTCCCCGCCCCACCGTGACCGTACAGCGGCGACACGAGGCCTCCGGGCGTTGACGGCACGAGCGGTGCGCACGGGCTCTGCCAGGGAGTCGTGCCGAGCCTTGGCGGCCCGGCGCCACCGCGCGGCGATAGGCTGACCTGCTCCAGCGACCGGAACTGCAGCTCCGGCGGGTAGTCCCGGACGCACCCGATCCTGGGCCCGGCGCCGGTGGTCCAGCGGAACGAGAGCTGGTTCCCGAGCTGGTACGAGTGCAGGCTCATCTTGGAGTTGATGCGGTGCAGGATCTTCTCCTGCGGCACCACCACCACCTCCTCGTCGTCGCCGCTCTCGCCGCCCCAGAACAGGTTCTCCTTGCAGAAGTCCAGGCAGTCCCCGAACGTGCCCGCGCCCTGCTCCCAGCCGCCCTTGCCCAGCCGGCTCTTGCTCACTGCCAACCGTGGAGGCCGCTTGCGCTGCAGCCGGCTGCCCGACGAGGACCTCTTCATGGCCGGCGTGCCTGATGATGTCGCTGCGCTGGTTGTTGTTTTATCATGGCTCGTGGATGGCGGCGTGGCTGGTGTGGTCTTTGCAGTGGCCTTGTCTTGGTCAGCAGCGCCAGCGGGGTGGGACTTGGAGGAGTCTTCTTTTTTGAAAATTTTGGAGGAGTCTTCTTGACTTGCGGGATTGCTGCTCTCCGTGTGCTTAAGCTCGGAAAGGCTGCCCCTTTGCCTGAACCACTCGTCCTCCTCACCTTCTGATGGGCTCAACTGTAGAAAAACAACAACCAAAAGATGTTCTTGTGTCAGAAAAAATGGACAATGTAGGTAGGTTTATGTTCCTGGGCTAAGATGGTATATGTGTAGCAGTATAGGTACAGCACTCTGATTTGCTTCTTCACCTTGACATTTGTAAGATCCACGTTCCTATTCTTCAGATAGTTCATGAACTCACGAAAGTTCGCCTCCGTGGGGCGGTAGTGCCCACTGTGTGGCCAGACAGCCTGAAATATGCTAAACTGAATCAGACAGGTGACCTGGGTGCTGTACAAGTAAAACACTACGAGGTTGGTAGGGAAGTGTTGATCCATGCACCCTTAGAATCCCATTCTCTACAACCAGTCTGCCAGCAGCAGATGTGGCTCCACCGGCGAGGAAGCTGGAGTGCTGAAATGTGCCCTTGCTCTTCTGCAACAATGTGATTATTTTTCATCTGTCAGAGGCCAGCTCTACTGTCTGCTTAAGGTTTCAAGGTGGTGTACTGGTGTGGTTGGACATACCGTACCGATGTATAGAACTCTCGTTGTGCTTAGCACGAAGATCCATTTTGCATCCCTGGGGCCTTCGGATGTGTCGACGATTTTGCTGCTCAGCTTGTACACCATCTTTCCATCCTCAACCACGACCTCATAGGACTCCCTTTCTTTCTGCAGAAAGTAGTAAATCGTCTACGGTTCATATACGAAGCCTTTTCTGCTCTGAGATTTCATATCCATTGCTGTGAGGGTTGGAGCACTAACCGGGCCAAGATACCTGATGCATTGCTGCAGCAGCTTCCATCTTGGACAGTGGTCATCAATATTAACCTCCTTTCCTTCACCTATATCCAACCTATTAAAACGTGATTTCAGAGAACTTTGAACTTTCAGCTGGTTTGGAGATAGATTTAAAACTTTCACGTGAACTGTACCAGTAAAAGAAAGGCTGTTTGCTCTCACAGTGTAGCCAATATTGGTAGTAGTAGTGGAGGTTGTGGCCATACCGATGTCGAGGGTCAATCTGCCCATGAAACATGAATGTTCTGTGATGTCCTTTCATCAGTTAGTGTTTGAAAGAAATTGTTTTCATGCGTACTGCTTCAAGCCAGTGTTGCAGTGCGAGCTTCTGAGCCTTTTCATCCTTGGAAAGACCTTTTCCTACCTGAAGCAAAAACAGAAGAACACCAGATACGAATTCAGTATTGAATCATACTAGAACAAAGATATGACAACAGTCCTTTGGAAATCAGACTACATCGTTTTAGTAGTTGAGAATATCAGCTTCATAGCAACAATGTACAGTCAGCATATTAAAGCCAGGGTTCAGCAATAAAAAACAACCAGACCAAATTTGACAGTAACGGCAGAATAAAATTAGTTCAACTTGTTTAGTTTATCAAGTTTACAATGTTATGAAAACAACTAATGCCAAAAAAAGGATAACAATAACGCCAAGAACCAGTATAGTAGGACCATAATACTATAACACACAACTGCGCTACAAATTCTAAGGTCCAAGCTCAAAATAATTGTTAAGTAGCATAATGTGTAAACACATGAATTTTTACCTTGGCAGCTCTCATTCTGGCACGAGACCACCTCGAGAGGGCCGACTCAGGCTTCTGTACATCGAAAAATGACACTGAATTGCGTTTGAGCAATGCAAAATCAAGTAGTTTCCACCTGGATTTAGTATACAATTCACGAAATTCAGTAACATTGCCCCATTGTCAAAATGACACTATCACGTATGAAAATGCATGATTAACACAAGGAATTTTACAAACCAGCGTTGTTCAACAAGAACAGCACAATCAGCAAGCTGCCGCCTTGTCCTGAAGCTCTTGTACACCTTCTGCACTCTTAGTGCTGCAGTCTGGTGCACTGGGCTGACCATCCCAATTACCGGAGAATTTGGTGGTAGGTTCTCCGTGGACCTATATCTTGGCAGGATGATGGGCTTGTAGTTGTAACTCTTCTTTGCAGGTTTAGGACTAACCATTGATAGTGTAGTTTCAACTTGAAATGGATCGCCCTCCCTTTTTTCAAAGCTTAAAGAGCCTCTTACGACGAGTCTCTTCGAAGTCAGTGCGTCAAGCAATGCTGGTGGCGATTCAAGGGTCTCAAGTGTGCTGAGATTATCAAAGCTTAGAGACCGCACAAAGAGCCTGTCCATACCATCATCGTCATCCTCAGGCAGGTAGTCATCTGGTGGGTATGAGATTGACAGCCCCATTTTCCTGATTAAACTGTAATATGTGACGGTTTTCTTTGTTCACCCTTTTGCCTAGCGTTTTCTCTGATATGCCTTGCTGCTTTTGTTCCTCATCCGAATCTCTTCAGGAGTTTTTTATGAGCGCGTTGACACCCTTTGCCAAGAAGGAAAATCAAATCAAAGGATATAAAATGTAGGACCTTTCAATTGGAAAGCACATTAGAAACAGATTCATGAATTTCCTTAACTATTCACAATTTTACCAAGGCATGTCTATTATAATTGAAAAGCCTCGTGTAATATCTCTTGTGATAAAATGTATTCAGCGAGGTGCCAAAAAGAGGGTAAAGAAAGTTCGTTAAAAGGAAAAAAAAAAGAAGAAAAAAGAAAAGTAGAGGGGAAGAAAGAAGAGACCAATAAATCTGTGCATAAGTGTTCCCGGGAAAAGAACAGGCCAAGAAGTGAAAATCGAACAACACTGAGTTTTATCTCTACCTTCAAATTTCTTGCGCCATCCATCCAATAGGACCTCTTGACAAGAGGTCTGCGAGGCAGAAAGATGAAAAGAACAGCAAATTTTGCAGGGCAAACGGGAGTAGATTTAGGAACCAAGCATAAGTGGTGAATGGCTAATGACCATGCAACAGGGGCAAGTGGGAAAAACACGGCGATGGTGTCTTCGCCCCAAAAATAACAAATCAAGGTTTGAGGTGCCTGAATGTTCTCAGGGGAAAAAAAGGAAGATGGTATACTATTTAGTGTTGTTAAAATTAGACAGCAGTTAAGAAACACGATGTGTGTATAACTAGAAGCGTAGAACTGATATTGCCTAGTGACTATCACCACAGGAAGAACAATAATAGTAGCATCTGTTGCTAACTTGCAATTGCTAAGCATTTCCCCTGGCACTTGATGGCCAGCACAAGAATAGTTCCAACACCGTGACCCCGATGATCGGCACATACGCCGAGGTGAAATGAGCTACCACACTAACCCAGCAAAACTATATTAGCAAGCTGTTTACCTCATGGGCATTCCACCGAACACCCCACGTGCGGTGGCATAACTTGGCATCCATGCTTCCGAGTTTCCGACGGCTCACAGGTGACTGCGCTGCGTACGTAGATCGGGTCACAATTTTGAACTTTAGACGAGACTTCATGGCTTCTTCTTGAGTCATCTTCTCCGCCTCCTGCACTTCACAAAGCATCACTATGATCCTGATCCATGATGCTCCCTCCTTTTTTGTGTTTTCCCCTCGCAGCTGCGCTGAGAAAAAAACAGATATAGCACACAAGCTGCATCCGCCCCGTGAACCTCTAATCTTGTCCACCACTGCGCCCGTGCATGAATCACGCCATCACGGCAGCTAGCATCTAGCTACCTCGCACACCACGCATGGCGCTGCCGGTGGTTAACTCAAATTTGCATTTTGTACCGTTTCCGGGGTCCGGTGGCCTGTCCGGGAAGGACGACTTGTTACACTGCACTACAATCCACCCATGAGTTATTTTTCACCTCAATCCTTCACAATTCATTTTCCATGGTCTATTTTACCGCCAAACCATAACCATGATTTGATTTTTCATCCTCTACCATTAAAACCTGATATCTTACTTTCTGAATTCTAAAAACGTTCAAATTACTTCTTGGTACTGAATTGAAGTGATCTTGAAGGCATAGGCACTTTTGTCCTTTTTAGATAATATAAAAATCTAATAAAATACTGACAGCCTAGGATTAAGGGATCCCCACCGGGCCGGTCCAGTGGCTTGGGTTTTGAGGACATGAGATAAGGTGGCGTGTACTCTAAGCTAACAAGGAATGACCTAATCAGATTCTAGGAAAAATAGCTTCTGTAATAAAACTAAAACTCTTCTGTCGTATACAACTAGGACTAGATCAATACGCCTGTCCTCTAAACTATATAAATAGAGGCATGGGCACCCCTTGTAATCATCTCATACACAACAATCCAACACATGGAAACACGCCTAATTAGACTAGGGTATTACGCTATTCAGTGGCCTGAACCAGTATAAACCGCTGTCTTCGAGTTCACCGTCGAGCTCTGTATACGGTGAAGCCCATCAAACATCGTCCTAAGTAACCCCGTGACGTGTTGCCGGTCATCAAACACCGACAGCTGGCGTGCCAGGTAGGTGCTTTTGGCGAATTCGCATTCGAGAGCTCGATGGACCTCGACATCACCATGGTTTTCCCGGTGGGATCAACTTTCGTCTTCTTCGGTTCCTGGATCTACACGGCGGACGACTCTGAAAAGCTCCAAAGTCACCTCGTGGAGATCTCGGCGGATCAAGCGACGCCAGCAAACTGCCAAGATACGATGGATGATCTGGTCGAGAGAAATCGACAATTTTTGGATTTTCGATCCTACACGGACTCAGAATCAGCTGACACATTTCGAGTCTTACTCCGACATGACCATGTTGTCCAAATCAACTCTTGAGTCATCGGCCAACCACGGACTCCTAGTTCCGACTTCCACTCGAACTCAGGAAAGGATGGCAACGGGTACAGATTACCTGCGTGCCCATGGGTAAAAACCTAGTAGGGCGAGGGTATGGGTGCAACTTTGTCCCAACGGGTTTAGGTGCGGGTTTGTAGTTGAACCCAAAGGGTTAAAACTCGTGGGCATAGAAAACTTGTACTCGTGCCCGCTTCACCCGCAAACCCGCTCCAACCTCGTGACATGTAGGTCCCTTCCAACCCTCGAGGCGGAGGGCTCTACCGAGATTCTCTCAAGCGCCTTAACAGCCGAGTCTAGCACCAATAGCACCATCTGCTATGGCCATAGCCAGAAAGTTTTCATGCTTCGTGCCCTAGATGTCGACTCAGGCGATGAACCGTTGTTAGATATCTCTGTCGACGTACTCAAGACGACTGACGAGACGGAGGAACAAAAGGTTGCTCGCTTGAAAAAGAACCTCAAGGGAAAGGGAGGTCGGAGCAGAGAAGAAAGAGGAACCGGTACATCGAGATATACTTGGAGAGGAAGAAGAACAGTAGCCTAAGATGGAGAAGTATTCTGTTGTTTGATGCCTGGCTTGGCCTCCACGGGTCCCTTTTGTAGCTGGCGCCCACTTGCCAACCTATCCTGGGGGCCCACATGGTAGCGCCCTTGACATCCTTCTCCAGCACGAACTCGAGCATGACCTGCTCGAAGAGGTCTCTCTTCTTGCTCTGCTGCGCCAGTCCAATGGTCGTCTCGCCTAGCATGTTGCTTAGCTTCACGTTGGTGCCAGCAAATACGAGGCGCAGAAGGCCTCAACGTTGCCCATCTTGGCAGCAACCATTATGGGTGAGCACCTGTCCAAATCCTGCTCATCCACGTCAACTTCTGACTGACTAAGCGAGCAGCACTTCCACCACGGTCGCGTCGCTGCACAGCGTGCCGAACACGTTCCACTCGCTTGCGCGTGTTTAGTCTGAGGAATTTAGGAATTTGGGCTACTATAGCACTTTCATTTTTATTTGATAATTAGTGTTTAATTATGGACTAATCAGGCTCAAAGCGTTCGTCTCGTGATTTTCAATCAAACTGTACAATTAAATTTTTTTTTATATACATTTAATATTCCATGCACGTATCGCAAGATTCGATGTGATAGATACTGTGACACTTTTTGAGAATTTAGGGTTTCATCTAAACACGGGCCACGGGGCGGGGGATGGTCTCGGTCTGAATCGCACAAAGAAAAGCCTGCTCGAAGCCGGTCTTCCATTCCCCAGAGGAAGCGACGGAGGCTGTGGAGTTTAATAGCACGACGTCTGTACCAGTGGCCACGAGAACTCCAAGGCAGTCCTTGTGTCTGTGGCGTGAGAAGAATATGGCAGCGGTGTCGCCGGCCTCCACCCTCGAGTTCACGTCGCAGCCCCTGTCAACTAGCATCTTCAGGATCTCCGACTGCCCGAGGCATGCGGCCAGGTGAACCGGCCTAGAACTGTTGCTCCTGAACGTCTTCACGGAAGCTTCGGAGTCTGCACCAGACGCTAGCAAGGTTTGGACGGGCACTGGCGCTGCCACAGAGAACGGTGTGGTGGAGGAGCGTTCGACCGAAGTGAGTGGCGGTCGACGTGTACCCGCTACCAAGGAGCATGCGCAGGAGCCCGTGGACTCGTAGTGCTCCACGACGCACCGTAACGTTGACTCGGAGACTCGTATCAAATTCGAAGTTTGGACAGGATTGGGCACGGTTCTCAGGCACGCACACCAAGAGTATTTGGATGAAAGGCTTCAATGATACATTCTTCTGTTGAAAGTTGTGAGTGACTGTTTTGCCAAACTGATCCGGACAGAAACTATATATATCATCTGTGAAATTGTTGTTGAAAGTTACGAGTGACTGTTTTGCCAAACTGATCCGGTCAGAAACTATATCATCTGTGAAATTGTTGTTTTGTTGAAATCGGAGCTAGATAAATTCTTTTGTTGGTTGTAGCTGAGTACTTGGTGCAGATTTCAAGACAATTAATTCAGATGAACATGTAGAAAAAATTGAGAATAGTAGCTTGGTAGGAAATGCTTTGCCTGATGAATCTTAACAGAGCAACTGCTGCTGGACTTTCTGACACAAACGGAGCAACGTCGCGGCCAATGACGCGGCCGACAACTATAGGTCGGGCCGTGATTAGCGCAACGGCCAATCTAGCGGACGAGATTGCGGCCGTCATCATTGCAGCGTAGAAGGTGAGACTAGCTTGCAAGGGAACGCGAAGCGTGAGAGGGGTGTTAATCCTGCCATCAAGCCAACCCCGCAGTACCACATCCAATATTTCTCGGAAAAGTTAAATTTGCCCTCAAGGGTATATGCCCCTACCCAATGCACAATTGCATGTGCATTTGGGATGTGTGCACTATAGGAATCTCTCTCCTGCGGTGCACATAACCCAATGCATATCCAATGATGCATCGAGTAGGAGCATATGCTCTTAAGGGTAAAAAAACCCGCCTTTGTATGTGTAGGAAGTGACGGACCAGGACCTTAAGGGTTTCCCAC